TATAGTGCGTTGCTCCTTAGATTTGATTACTTAACAAATAGGAATGAGCAAGACGACAGTTGCAAACCCGCTCACGTCTACAACATGACTCAACTCCTGTGCACATCATGTGTACAACTTAAGACACACAACTACTATAAAAGCTGTCATTCATCTAGTCTATGAACTAGTTCTAATCTTAGTCGTCCATTACAAACAAGAACATAAGAACAACTAAACCCATAAATTCAAGATTTAAACAAGTGTAATATGCACAAATCCTTATATCTTTTATACAATTATTGGGTTTTGAGTGTTAGAATGTTTCATCTCTCAATCTATAGCTCTCTAATTTATTTTATTTTGACTTTTACTCTTGGCATCGTTTATGTATTTAGTTGTGATCTCTAGATCGCATAAACTGAAGAAAGCATATTTATACATCAAAGAAAGTATGACTAACTCTGTTGAAGAATTTTGGGCTCCAGGTTGCAAACCTATGAGTACACCACTAATTCCAAGTGACTATGAGAAAAGAGGATGATAGTAGAACTGCTGATCAAGCTCAATACATAAAGGTTGTTGGGAGCACGTTATACCTTAGTGCAACTTGACCAGACATAATGTATTATGCCTGTTTGCTAGCAAGGCCCTGCATTGTCCCTCAAATAAGCACTATGGAATAGCAAAAGGAGTTCTCAATTATATTCAAGGAACTTTGGATTTTGGCTTTGAATACAAGAAAGGAAAAGGAACAATTATGATAGGATTTTGTGACAGTGATTGGAGTGGTTCAGAAGAGGTCGTGAAAAACACTTCTAACAATGCTTGTACTTTTTGTAGTGGTGTTTTCTTTTGGGTTTCAGTTAAGCAGCAATGTGTAGCCTTATTCATTGTTGAAGTTGAGTCCCGAGTACATCAGTGCTTTAGAAGCTAACACACAAGCCAGTTGGTTAAGAATTGTCCTATAAGACTTTGGTGAAGTTCAAACTGATGCTACACTAAATTGTGATAAAACTTCAATCATGCATCACTATGAATCCCATTTTCATTAGAAACCCAAGCATATAAATAGAAGGTATCATTTCATTAAGAAAGCACTGCAACAACGAGTGATTGATTTTTAGTTCATTGTCCCACAAATGAAAAGTTGCTGATATCTTTACAAAGGCATGAGCAAAAGATCAGTTTAATCATCTCAGAGATCTCCTTGGTGTGAAATCAGTTCACAATTTAAGGGGGCGTTGAAGCATAAATTGTAAACTGATTTGTTGAAGACTCGGTATTAATCCTAGCTTACATTGTTGGATTAATTAGAATAGGTTTTAATCCTAGCTTACACAAAATCACAGATTCAAATTCCAAATTCTAACAATAGCATGCTTAGTTTTCCTGTCAATTTGTTGAACAAGTTTGCGTATTTGTTGAACAAGTTTGCATCAAATCTTTGTTTAATACAAGGTGCATAATTAGGTTATCTTATACAAGTTTTAAGTTGTTGACCCACAAAACTATCAATCGCTAATTAACATAAGGACGTGAGCAAGATTCTTTAAACTACACCTCTTTCTTTTTACTGAACTGGTAAAATACTTTAAATTTTTGTTTAATACAAAGAGCATTGGATTTTTCTTCGCGAGGATTTAAAATTATTCATGCACAGACGTACATAAATAACAAAAATTATTATAATATAGAAGAGCCTCTTTCTCTTCACTGAACTACTTGACAAAACGTAACATCATAATGTCCACTTCAATGAGATAGAGTTCAATGGGAATCAAAGCTCTGTGGGTAGAAATGCCAGTTGTAGAAACCCCGTTGGTTCGTAAAGGGTTGATAGAAACCAAACCCAGTCTTGGGTTTTTTGTTTTTTTGTCAAATAATAACTTTTATTAAATTCTTTGCATAAGTAATGTATATTATGCTTTAGAATATTTCAAAGTCAATGATAGCAAATAACAAGACATCTATAAGATCCATCCGCTTCTTACACATGATAGCAATTGACCCAATATTTAGAGGAATGTTATTCATACTATATTTTTATATCATATTTCTACATTATTTTAGGTGACATCTGATGTGGACAAACATATTATTTGAAATTTTTTCAAAACCCAAGAAAATGAAGGAGAAAAACTTATCGTATACCACAATCATCATTTAATTAACTAGTTTTTCTTAATTATTAATTTATTAAATAATGAACTAAATTTAAAATTCTGATTAATTCAAATATTGTGAATGTCTACATCAAATACCACCTAAGATGGTATGAATAGCATTATTATTATTACTTTGATTGAGAGAGGAATTTGTCTACTCAATTGCCTAATTGTTGGATCAAATTCTTTGTTCACAAAGCCAATCAAAATGAGTTTACCTACTCATTAATTTGTCTACACTATTGGTGATACACTATAAACATGGCCCATGGCCACGATGGTATTACTCACTCACGCATGGGAGGCCTCTTTCTATTTGGCCTCATCTGATTGTTTATGATGCTTGTATGCGGACGATTGTAAAAAATTACAAGATATACAGAGTCTATCTAAGGAGATTTCAATTTTTTTTTTGGTTTTTTTTTTTTGGTTTTTTTTTGAAGATAAGGACTAGTTGTTCACTTCACATTGAACTCAACTATCTATTTTTTAATCTTCATTAATAGATCATCATTGCAAAACATTAATCCAATCCAAAATCACTAACCATTTGATTCTCATGATAAAATTTCAATATTTCTTATAACATAATGTTCGTCAATTTCTTTGAATTCAATTAGATGTTTTATAAATTTCTTATTTAGCTAATATTTTACAAAGATGATCTATGAAGTGCAATTTAAAAAAGGGTTCTTTAGATATAGACCCTTACAACTCTTATTTTCTAAATAAAAACCCACCTAGTTATAAATATCCAAATAAAACCCAAATTTAAAAATGACTGCCAAATATAGAAGTAATTGACCTATAATTACAAAATATTTACAATTTGTACCACAATATTCAAAATAAAAATCAACAAATGTTATTACTCACCTTAATTACAATAAAAATATAATTATTACACATATTATTACCCCAAACACACATATATATGCGTTCAAATGTATATATTACTACCATAAGCTCCATATATATATATATATATATATATATATATATATATATATGTACACATATGTAGTTTACCTATATGAACGTATAGTAGTACTATATATATAGTCTACCTATATATATAATATTACTATACGCTCACATACACACACACACACATATACATATACATATACATGCACAATACTACATATATGATCAAACATATTACACTAATTAATCTACCTATATTTAAATTTATGATGAGCAAATAACATATATTTTGTAGGTAAATTAATATTGAATCATAACATTCTTTTATTTCGTAGGTAATTTATTTTCCATGTATTATTACATTTATTTGGCACATTTTATTATTATAAGATATATGTACAAATAATAGGTAAACTATTCTTGAATAAAAAAACAATTGCTTTATTTTGTAAGTAAATTAATTTTGAATCAAATAACATTTCTTCATTATGTAGGTATTTTATTTTGTATGTATCATCATATATATTGGGCACATTTTATTATTCTATGTACAAATAATAGGTAAACTAGTATTGAATAAAATAATAACATTTTTTTATGTAGGTATATTATTTTCCATATATTTGGGTTTGCTTTATTATGTAGGTAAATTATTTTGCAAGAATTTTATGTATGTCAAGCATGCTTTTGTTGTTGTTATATATATGTGTGTGTGTGAAATAATTTACCTACATTTATACGTAAAATATAATTTTATTGACTTAACTAAGCATGTATTACTACATTTATTAGGCAAGTTTTATTGTTATTATATATTATGCAATGAATTTATTTATTTTTTTTATTTTTGTAAAATCATTAATTCTCCCTTACAATTTGTATGGAATTAATTATGTAAATCAAACATTCAAATAGGGGTGTTTTGGGCATTGAAAATTTTTAAATGTGTAAAGTCAAATATATTTAAGGAATTTGCTGATGTGGAATCTAGTCAATGGGTTTTATTCCAATAAAAAACTTATGTCGGATTTTATGGGAAGAAAATTAAGTTTCAAGAACTAAAATCATATTTTCAGTTTAAAAAATAAACATTTTGGACAGTTGAAGTTTGATTTGAAGTAGGTTCTACAACTAGTTCCCATTTTACCCAAAAAAAAATATATCCCAAAAAGGGCCTTTATTCGACGTGGCTGTCGATGGGAATATTATATTGTCCTTGTGGAGTCTGGACAACCAATCGAACCACCCCCCCCCCAAAAAACACAAAAAAAAAAAAAAAAAAAAAAACCAAAAACTCACTTTCAAATTCGTCCAAATGGTGTATCAGATCTGGGCTTGGTATCATTTGTTTTTTTAATTCCTTCTTGTCTATATGTTGACATTCCGAATTATAATAGTCTAAACAAAACAATGTCAATATATCCCGATTATAGAATCGTCCAAATGGGTCCTAGAGTGTTTTACACGTAACTGAAAAAAACAAAAACATAAAAAAAAAAACAAACTAGGGATATTGAATCGTGTCATCTAAATGGGTTCTAAGTTTTTAACACGTAATCAAAAGAAACAAAAATCTAGAAAAGAATGCACTAGAAGCATTACAATAGTATCATCTAAATGGACCCTAAAGTATTTTACACCTAAAAAAACAAAAACAAAGAAAAGAATACACGAACTAGAGACATGCAGGGAATGAAATTGCATGAGAATATGACTCAATCACCCCCGTATAATATTCAAAGTCAAGCTCACATTAAGAGACATTTTGCAAAATATTGAACCAGTTTTTGGAAATGCAAATGTATCATTTATATGTTTAATCTTAGTAGCTGATAAGCGTTGCAAACCACTATTTTCTTTTTCCTACTATGGCTTCCCTAGCCAGGCAAAAGCAGCCTCACTTTGTCCTAATCTCCCTCATGGCACAAGGCCATATGATGCCCATGGTAGACATGGCTAGACTTATTGCAGAGCGTGGGGTGATGGTTAGCTTGGTCACCACTCCATACAATGCCTCGAGATTCGACACGACAATTTCTAGAGCAAAAGAATCTGGACTTCCAATTGATCTTGTGCAAATACCATTTCCATGCCAAGAAGTCGGACTTCCAATTGGGTGTGAGAATCTTGACAGTTTACCCTCAAGAGACCCGCTCAGAAAATTTTATAAGGCTCTAAGTTTGCTACAAGAACCGGTCGAAAACTATCTTCGCAAGCAAAAGCTTCATCCCAGCTGCATAATCTCGGACAAGGCCCACTGGTGGACTTCGAAAACAGCTCAGAAGTTCAATGTTCCTAGGATTGTTTTCCATGGGATGTGCTGCTTCTCACTGTTGAGCTCTCACAATGTGAAAGCCTACAATGCTCACAATTCTGTCACCTCTGACCTTGAACCTTTTGTGGTGCCAGGGCTGCCCCATAGGATTGAGATCACTAAGGCTCAGCTGCCTGGAACATTTGTTACCCAGACCGATTTAGATGACTTTCGGGACAAAATACAAGAAGCAGAATTAACATCCTATGCGGTTGTAGTGAATAGCTTTGATGAACTGGAGCATGGGTGTGCTGAGGAGTTGAGCAAGGTACTTGAGAAAAAAGTTTGGTGCATTGGGCCGGTTTCCTTGTGCAACAAGAACAATATGGACAGGTTTTCTAGAGGCAACAAAGCCTCAATTGATGAGAGGCAATGCTTGGAATGGCTCGAATCTATGAAACCAAGGTCAGTTATCTATGCGTGTCTTGGTAGCCATTGTAGGCTAGTTCCATCACAACTGATTGAGCTTGCCCTTGGTTTAGAAGTTTCAAGGCAGCCATTTATTTGGGTAGTCAAAACAAGTGAGAAGCATTTAGAATAAGAGAAGTGGTTAGTGGAGGAAAGATTTGAGGAAAGGATCAAAGGGAGAGGTCTTCTGATCAAGGGTTGGGCTCCACAAGTTCTTATACTCTCCAATCCTGCAATTGCAGGATTCTTTACTCACTGTGGTTGGAACTCAACAATAGAAGGAGTGATCACTCATATATTTCATGCATTTATACCATCCATTTCTAAAGTCTTTGTGATGTTTTTGTGTTAAAATGGTTGCATTTTACCTTACCTTGTGTTAGTGTGCAGTTAAATTTGCTTTAAGATCAATTTCATGCAAAAAGGAGAAAATGAAATAATAAAAACAAACAAAAGAATTGGAAGTGGAGCTTGTCTCCACGGGTGGTGTTTGAAAAAGAAATCAGAAAGCAAAGTGGGAGAGTGAGGATGAAGGGAGGAGCACACAGAAGTGGGAAAGAAAGAGAAGAAAAAAATAAAATAAAATAAAAGTGTGGAGGGAACACACGGCATTTCCGGAAAGAGGAAAGAAAAGATGGTAGAAAAGAGGAGAACATGGGGTGCCCACTATGAAGTGGAGTTTGGTTGGTCTTCCACTTGTAGCTTTGGTTGGTTTTGACAATTATTGCCTTTTGTTGAAGGCAATAACTAAAGGGCAGAGAGCAAATGAAGAAAAGGACAGAGGGGAGGACGGACAGAATGGAGCAGCAGAGGAGTATTCATTGCAGCAGAAAATAAAGGTGTGCAGCTCTGATGAGACTTACAGAGTAGAGAGTTGCAGAGAGCAACATAGCAGAAAAGGAGGAGAAGATCAGAGAGCTTGTTTTGTAAAAAGGGTTGTTTTCCTTCTTTGATTCTTCATGGATAATTTCTTATGTATTCAAATAATTATGTGTAACTAATTTCTTTTCGCTAGAGTGAGGTCATGAGCCGCAACATGATTACGTAGATTTCTCTTTCAATTGCTTAAGTGTTGTTACATGCTTGCTTTGATATTTTCAATCTCTAAATTAAACTATCTATGTGTCTTGATGATTGATCACCATTAGGATGCTTAGAAAAGTCATTGGATGCAATTTTGAACAAATGTCACGTTAAAATTGGTTATGCTTCTTGTGATTGAGGATTGTAATTTCTCCTAAGGTAAATATCATACTCTTAGGGATTACATGGTTTAACAAAAGGATTTTCATCAAGATTAATGAATCATTCATGTTTATATTTAATCCAAATGTCATGGATAAATTGCATGTAGTGGTATGCGTTTTAACTTGAATGTCACAAGTAAAACATACACAAGGAAAACTCAACCTTCAAAGCATATGTGTTTTCGATTACTTAAGCAATTGGAGGAGCTACGTAGAAGTGTTGTTGGTAAAGGTTGAACTCTAGCATATTGTCAATCTATTTTTCTTCAATCATTTATTTTATCTTGAATTTCCTCATTTTGCTTGTTTTGTTTAGTTGAATCATTATTTCTATAAGCCATTTCCCTTTTTAAATGTTTGTTTAAGTCACGTACAATAGTATTTAGTTTTGTTGAATTAGTGTAGTTCTTAGAGTTAACTAAGTTAAATACACAAAAGCTCATAAATTGTTTATACCAGTCCCTGAGGAGATCGACCTTGCTTGAGCCATTCTATACTACAACACTTGTTCTCTTGCAAGAATTTTCTATGGTTTAACCCTTTGTTTTACAAGTGGTAAAATCGCCATCAAGAAATTGGTGCCGTTGCTGGGGACTGTGCCAACAATTCCTGAGCTTTTGTGTTTATTTTTCTTATGCTTATGTTTATGTCTTATTTTTCTTAATAATTAAATTAAAAAAAACAGCAATTAATTTAGTTGAGTTTCGATCTTTGATTAAGTGCAGTGGATGTGTGGTGTGAGATTTTTGTCTTTGTTTAACTAACTAGTGGTTGCCAATTTGCATAAACCGTGTTTTTGATTCATCTAGGTTTACTTACTTTCTTTTCCTTTTTGTTGTTTAGTTAGTTTCTATTAAGTTTTATTTTATTTTACTTTTATTTTTATTGTGGCTTAATATTTCTATTGTTTGTTCAGGTGTAGTATATGGTGATTGGAACAAAGTCCAAGAATCAAGTACTTATTCCTTACGACCCTGAACCAGAGAGAAGTGCAAGGAAGTTAGCTAGAGAAAAATATTTAGCACAAGATTCCAACATTGGTGATACTTTTCTTAAGGATTTGTTATGTGATCCTGAGAGCAACACATCTATTTTCCAACCTTTGGCACCAGTTGTACACATGGCCCTAGCCTTACTTGCAGCAGGTCAACCTTTAAGGAATTCATTGGCAGTGAGAGTCAATGCAGTGCCAAGGTGCATTATATATCCAGCTGTGGAAGATGGGACAACCTTTGAAATCAAACCTCACATCCTCAACATATTGCCATCCTTTCATGGGTTGCCAAACAGTGATCCCAACATGCATTTGGCTGATTTTATTAAGGCATGTGACAACACCATAATCAGAGGTTTCTCTTCTAAAGCTATCAAGTTACGCTTGTTTCCGTTCTCTTTGAAGGACAAAGCCAAGGCGTGGCTGCATTCTCTGCCTTGCCAATAGCATTACAACATGGTCTTAATGCCACCACCAAGAGTCAAGTGAATGCATCTGCTGGAGGGTCAATAATGTCAAAATCAGCAAGGGAAGCATTTGAGTTATTTGATATGATGGCTTCTGAATCCCAACAATGGACAGAAGAACAAACACAAAAGAGGAGAGTTTTTGAGATTTCTCAGAGTTCTCCTAATGTTTATGCTCAAATTGCTAAAATGGAGAAGAATTTTAATGCCAAGTTTGCGGCCTTAATGCAAGTCTCTTCCATGCCCAATGCCCAAGAAGCTTGCATCATTTGTAGTGAGACAACTCATGACATCACTCAATGCCCTAACAAGGATAGCTACCCTGAGCTTGTGCAAAAGCATGTGAATATGGTGAATAATTTCATTAGACCCAGAAGTGACCCTTATTCAAATACATATAATCCTGGGTGGAAGAACCATCCCAATCTTAGTTGGGGTGGCAACCAACAGCCACGTCAATACCAACAATCTTACCAATCAACTAGTGAGACTAAGAAACCATCTCTTGAAGATCAAATGTCATAGCTAGCTCAACATATGTCCGCTTACTCTAATAGCACCAACAATACACAAACTAGCATTCAGAATCTCACGACATCAATGGGAAATTTGGAGACTCAAGTTGGACAGCTTGCTACCATGTTCAATGAAAGAGAGAAAGGAAAGTTCCAGAGCAATCTGAGCAAAATCCAAGAGGGATGGAACATTGCAAAGTAATACGAACATTGAGAATTGGCAAGAGCTATGACAACAGAGAAGTGGCAAGAGCTATGACAACAGAGAAATGGCAAGTGCTATGACAACAGAGAAGTGGTGCACCATGAAGCCAAAGTCTTGGTCAAAGGCTATTTCTGTAGCAGGTATTCCAGATCCTAGTGCAAGTGACAAAGTGCAATCTCGACCCAACTTTGATGCAAACAAGGAAAAAGGCCTTGGTAGTTTATTTGCACCTTCTGACAAGCCACCATACAAGCCACCTTTGCCATTTCCACAACGACAGCAACAACGTTCCAAGGATCAACAATGCATTGAATTTATGAAGACGTTGGCTAAGGTTCAAATTAATTTGCCTCTATTAGATGCTATTAAACAGATCCCATCATATGCCAAATTTCTAAAGGAGCTATGTTCTAAAAAGAAAAAGTTCTTGGAATACGAGAAGGTAATTTTAACTGAGCAATGCAGTGTTGTCCTCTTACATAAGCTACCACCCAAGAAGAAAGATTCGGGGAGTTTCACTATCTCTTGTAGTATTGGTAGTCTTGATTTTCATAAAGTATTGATTGATTTAGGAGCAAGTGTTAACCTTATGCCTTATTCAGTTTTTCAAAAATTAGGTGAAGGAGAACTCAAGCCGACATATGTGAGTCTTCAATTGACAGATAGGTCCGTGACCTATCCTTTGGGTATTTTGGAAGATGTGATTATTAAAGTGGATAAATTCTATCTCCCAACTGATTTCATTGTACTTGACATGGAGGAAGACAAGGAAGTGCCTCTCATTTTAGGCTGACCGTTCATGGCCACCGCCCGGACACTTATTGATGTTGAAGCAGGTACTTTAACCTTAAGAGTGCAAGGAGAGTCAGTTGTATTCAAACTCTTTGAAGCTATCAAGCGTCCTCTTGAACTTGAAGAGTGTTTTCGTGTTGATGTTTTGGATGGGATTGTGCATGCAAACTTTGCCTCACGATCATCTAATGATGAGCTGTTAACTTGCCTCACCAACCATGATGCTATTTTATCTATGGAAGAAAATGTGGTGGATGTCATTGCTGCATTGGATAGTGCACCAATTCATAATCCAAAGTGGCCGACATGTTTATGAAAGCCTTGGAGTGCCTAAGCAGCTTCTTCTTCCTTCAAGTGAGCAAGCTCCGAAGTTAGAGCTTAAGCTACTGCCGAGCCACCTCAAGTATGCTCATCTCAGGGTGAACGAGACCTTGCCTATTATTATTGCTGTTGATCTTAATGACACGGAGGAAGACAAATTACTAAGTGTCATTCGTAAGTATCAAGATGCTCTGGGGTGGACACTTGCTGACATAAAGGGTATTAGTCCAGCTTTGTGCATGCATAGGATTTTTATGGAGGCTGGGACTAAACCAACTGTTGAAGCTCAAAGACGTCTAAGTCCAATCATGAAGGAAGTTGTAAGAGTTGAGGTGATGAAGTTACTCGATGCAGGTATCATTTATCTAATCTCGGATAGCAAATGGGTGAGCCTGACTCAGGTGGTTCCAAAGAAAACTGGTATTATTGTGGTGAAGAATGATAACAACAAGCTTGTGCCTACAAGGATGAGCACCGGATGGCGAATGTGTGTTCAGTATAGAAAACCCAATAACATCACTAGAAATGATCATTTTCTGCTGCCATTCATTGATCAGATGCTCAGAGACTAGCTGGTCATTCTTTCTATTGTTTCTTAGATGGTTATTCAGGGTACAACCAAATTCCAATTGCCCCTGAGGATCAAGAGAAGACAACGTTTACATGCCCTTTTGGTACATTTGCATACAGACGAATGCCATTTATATTGTGCAATGCCCCTGCCACTTTCCAACGATGCATGATGAGTATTTTTTCTAGAATGGTTGAAAATATTGTTGAGGTTTTTATGGATGACTTTTTTGTTTTTCGTAATTCTTTCGATATATGTTTGGATAACTTGTCTTTGGTTTTGGAAAGATGCAGGGAGACTAATCTTGTGTTAAATTGGGAGAAATGCTA